ATATCTTAGATCAGTCACTGCACAGAGCCTGCCCACCACCATAGTGAAAGTATTTTTGTACTACAAGCTTCTTCATAGACTTATTTAAGGTAAGTTTTCGGACATTTTAGGAACATACAGTAGTAATATTCTTGGAAATAACAGGTTTAATCACTGTGGCCTTAAAATACAAGACTCTTCCATTTGTAGTTGAAAGCATACTCTATTTCTTCAGTAATAATAAAAAGAAGAGGTCACAGAAAACTGTAGAATGATGTTTAGGTATTGTACAGTTTCCCAGAATTACAGTAAACGTCTCCATGTGTAAATCTTCACCCCAGCTTGGATTATTTTCCGAGGGTAGATGCCTGGGTCTGAGCCACAGTTGTGAATATTTTCATTGCTTTGCACACATCGCCAGCTGTCTTTGCGGTGTATCGGTTGTACATTCTCAGTGCCCCAGTGCCTGGCTCACTGCCTTCTTCACACCTGTGGGCATTCTCACTGTGGCGAGTCCTGACGCTGGCATCTCACTTCATTTGGTCATTTTCATTGTTTGAGTAGATTTATTAGCTATTTTCCTTCAGGAACTATACATGGGCCTTTGCTTTACTTTCGTATGAGCCGTAAGCCGGCATTTGCCAGAGAATTAGCCCCGCCTTGAGTACGTTCGCATTGCTGCCCACTCGGGCAGACTCAAGTCGGCCCATGAGGAGCAGAACTGGCCCAGGTGCTCTCCGTCCCCTACGCAGAGCCCAGGCCGGAGCTGCGGACGTCACCTGCTCCATCCACCTACCGCAAGCTCTCTGACGGAGACACAGGATTCACCGCGTGGTGGTGGAGCAGCTTCGAGGGCCTCAGTTAGCTGCTCCGAGGGACAGTGGGCGCACTTCAGGGAGCCCCAGGTCTGCACGGTGAATGTCATGACAGCAGCACAGCCCACAGCATCGCAGACTTAGCAGAACTTAGCGCAGAACTGAGCGTGGCCTCGGTGATTACTGTTGCAGTGTGGCTCACTTTCCCCAGCGTGTGTGTGTGATGTAAACACACACACGAAGAAGCTTTTGTCTTTTCTTACAGTCACAGCTGCTGAATTCTCCCTTCAGTTTGCTTTTCATCTACTTCCTTTGGAAAGTTCCTCAGAGCAGGCAGAGTTTGGTCAGGATGTGCAGCCTGCGTCCAGTGGATGGATGGGCATACAGGAGCCATGGCTGCAGAGATGGAAGACTCCTCCCTGACCTGGGAGAAGAGAACTGGGAGGAGTTCCTTGGTGCTGGGAGCTTAGGATACGGTGAAACCCGTGTCTGGCAGGCGGTGGAACATTTTCACAGCCTCATGCCAGAGTGAGCGCCCACGCTAATTCCAGTGGCAGTAACGGGCAGGCTGCGTGTCCAGGCGAGATGCGAGTGACGGTCCCCAGTTCCTGTGCAGGAGCAGGTGGGCCATCCTGCGGGACCGAGTCACAGAGTGCGAGGCATTGCCGTCACGTTGGCCACAGCGTGGCTTGGACGCGGTCTTTCTGATTGTGTGCACTGGATGCTAGTCTTGTCTTGCCGGTGACCTTTGACACATCCTCCTTTCAGCCTAGGGTCGCAGGCCCCAACCTTCCTAGTGCGAAGTGACTGCGGTCCTTTCAGTTCTGAGCGTAGCCTGGGCAGCTGGAGGCTTCTTACACCTAGGGCAGCCTTTCTTTATCAAATCACTCTGCCTTAAACACAGCAATATCAATGCCAGTGCTTTCGCATACACATAATAATGCTTAAAAGTAATCCTAGCACTGCGGGAGGCTGAGGTATGAGTGTTGCAAGTTTGAGCCCAGCCTGGGCAACTCAGCAAGGCCTTGACTCAAAATTTTAACAATTTGTTTTAAAAAAACTGGGGATATAGCTCAAGGCAAAGGCCCAAAGGACTTGGGTTCAATCCCCAGTTGTGAACAAAGCCCACTCTGCAGAGCTATTTGATTTTGCAGAGATTCATCCTGTAGGGATCTCCTGGGCTGCAGTGATCTCCTGAAGGCTTGGAGAACTCGGGACAAAGGTGTGAAGAATTTGCCCTCAGAGTTGGTTGTGCTGGAGGCTCCCAGTCTTCTCTCCAAACTCAGACCTTTCCTTTTGATCATGAGCGGTAAATGTGCCAAATTTTCTGTCATGGACTAGAGCAAGAGGGGTCGATGAAGGAGCTGAGCTGCTCGCAGTGACGGGTACCCCTCTTCCCCAGAAGCCCTCCCTTACAGTGCAGACATGTTGGAAGGCATCCTGTGAGTTCCGTCTCCTCTTCACTGATGGAAAGGAGCTAAGTGGAAGCAGGCACAGCACAGTTGTCCTGCAACAGAGCTTGCTTTCAAACATGCGGACAGGAGCACGGTCACAGCACTGATCGTAAGGATTAATTATGTTGGAAGATCCAAGTTCTGAAGAAATGAAGGCAAAGCCCTTCCTGTCCCTTACATTTATTATTCTTTTATTACAGTTGAGCTTAAAATTAGAACAACCTACGATCAACCACAAAATATTTTCAGTTGGCTTGGGCCTGTCTGTGGTCAAATCCTGGCTAACCATCTCAGTTCTTTGGCATTCACAATGTGTCCTGCATGAGGGATGGGGCAGGCCAGGAACAAAACCAACCACCCAAGCACTACGAGAGATGCCCCTGCAGGGGGATTGTGAGGGAAAGCTGTAGCGGTATTATGAGGGCAGCAGAACACTGTTAGTTGGAACATAACTTACTGCCAAAGCACCAATCATATGATCGAAAAATTATCTTATATGAATAAGTTTTCAGAATCGTTGCTGAATTTTTGGCCAAGATACCAATTGTTGTATACAAATATTGAGTTACCTTTCCATTGCACACTATTATTTCAGCCAGCAAACCCAAAGACCATTTGCCATATCAGGATAATAAATGGAGTAAAACATACAAAATTGGCCAATTGAGTTTCCAGTCCTTCTGCATAGATTTGCAGTTTGCAAATAGGTTATTTGGGAATTGAAACCATGAAGGTGAAATGCTTTCTTTACATAATATATTTATTACATCTTATTTTTTTCAGAACACATTTAAGAATGTAAGAATGTTAGCTTTATTTTCCATTCACTTAATTTCAATTTGCCTTTAAGAGAAACTCTAGGCTTTAAATAAATGAAGCATAAACCAAAGTTTTAAGACGTAGTCAATAATGATTTTTTAATTGATACTTTCTTGTTTATTTAGAGAAAATAAAGAACTAGGAAAACTTCGTTCTGGAACTTCGTAATTGAAGCCTCCTTTAAAATGTACTGTTTTATCTGAAGTATCTTTGCCCTCCTTAGGTGTGTTTCATCCTTAGAGACAATGTTACCAAATAGTTGTAACTTTGCAGCTGCTTTGATTGATGAGGGCTTGGACCGGGGTTTCATTGGGTAGGATTAACTGTGTTTGAAGATGGCACAGTGCCATTCTAACCTTAATGCCAGGATTTAATGAGAACCAGAAGTTGACTTCAAGGACTTTTATTGCCTCATAGGAAGGGATGATCATGTTCCCATTGTTTTAATGGAGTGTTCTACTACAATATGCTATTCTTCTTTCTTGTGTTCAGAGTTTCTGCTCAGCAGCTGTTGGTTGACCGGCAGCCCTGGCCACACCGTGCAGGGTCTGAGACCGAGCCCCTCCTGACCAGAGAGAATGAGCCGGTGCCCTGGACGTAGCACCTCGCGTTCTCTGAGCCTCGGTGGCCTGGCTTCCGGGGATGTAGCCACCCTCATCGCCCTCATCTCTGGTTGCTCTGGTTTTTCCATCAGCCTTTTCTCCGGTGCTGGACAGTGAGGAGGTCTCGGAGACCAAGGCTGAAGGTCGGAGAGCCCGGGTTAGAACCGAATGCTCTGGCTGTGGTGTTGATCGCCATGGGCTGGGGCCTGAGCTCTGGGAGCCCCGCTGTGAAAGTGGAAGTGGGTGGAGAGGCAGGAGAAGAGTGCGGGGCGGGGGGCTTCTCCTTTTGCTCCTGTCTGACTGAGGAAGCATTGCTCTTCGGGTGGACGGTGGCAAGGCACTTTCTGTGAATTGCCAGGGACCTGAGAGCCCTTTCTCTTCGACAAATCGCATAGTTCCTATGTGTTTAGAAGTGGAAGAGGGCAAGGAACCAAAAACACATGCCTTGTATGCGAAGTCTTTCTCCTCATCTCGTGTACGTGCCTGTGAAGAAACATTGACTACAAACCACAACCGCAAGACTGGCAAAGCAAAAGCAGCAGCGGCACTAGGAAAACTGCATCCAAAAATGATGGAGGAAAACCTCAGCTATGTAGCTTGTCCGGGCTTCCTAGGGGCCAAGGCATAGAACAGAAGTAGAATAATTGAAGTGTGATGTCCGTTAGTAAGATACACACCCCACCGGTTTATCAGAACAAACCAGCATTCTTGCTCCCCATTATTTAATAAGAACAACTTGCCCAAGACTTAGGGTAAGAACTTGTGAGGCTCATCATGAATGACGTCCAAATGAATTTTTATACAATTACGAAAGCCCTGCACAGATGCCATGCCACACATTGGTGTTGGGGAACAAGGAGGGAGAACTGTTAAAAGCAAGGCCCCGCCCTGCCCGGGCAGGGTCGGGGCCCGGAGAGTTCTGGTACATTTACCGTACATAGATGCTCGTTTCCTTTTGACCCATGGACATGTGGAGCTGTGGAAAGATGTAAAGCTGTCTAGAAAAGGGTGGCATTGTTCGAGTGGGAGGGATAAGTGGGATTTTTGTGGCAGGATGAGATTTGAAAGACTGCTCTGGCCGCTGGGGGGTTTTAAATGTGCCAATTCCCTGTAACAGGAAGATCAGTCTCCGCTTTGGACAGCACATCCAATTTAGGAAATTATTATTATTCTGTCAAAATTAATGTGAACAATTTTCTCTCTGAGGCTGCTTTTTTCCAGGTGATGTTTTCCAGATGGGCTCTGTGAGAAACGTGGTGTCCTGTGCTTTCTGGCCTGGAGAAGGTGCCTTTGCTGACGTCGCTCCGTGTTTTTCTCTTTCCCTGTCACAGGGAAGAGAACGCCCAAGGCGAAGGAGAAGAAGAACAAGAAGAAGAAGAGGCGGCTCCTTGACAGGGCGCAGGAGCAGCACAGCGCCTTCCTGGCCACAGACAGAGCAAACCAATAAGCCAGCCGGCCGGTGGCTGGGGTTTGTTTCCATCTTTGCAGAAGTGCACAAAGCTACTCTCCACTCCTGCCCGCTGGTGCGCAGCCTTGCTGCTCTGCCGGCCTTGTTCGCAGTGGCATCGTGAAAGCAGCACTCGGTGTGGCCTCGGGACTTAGGCTTTGATTGACTCTGGAACCGGGCAAGCTGGAGCTCCTGACTGTGTCCGTAGCATACAGCCTGGGACTCCCTCGGTGTGCCCAGGTGCCCTCCCGGCTCTGGGGACCTGCAGAGTGTGGCTGCAGCCACCCCTGGAGAAGCACTTGAGCCTGATGCAGGGCTCTGGTATCGGGCTGAGCGCTGTTCACCTGGGGCCTTTGTTTCTCAGTGTGTGCATCTGCAAGGACAGATATACTGGTGACCTGCTGCATGCATCCCCGACCTTCACACTGCTGCACTCTGAAACTGCTGTCCACTGGGGACAAGCTGAAGAACCTGGCTGTCTCCGTGCTGCACTCGTCTGTACAACTCCGTGGCTGCCCAGAAAGCTCGCTTCCTCTGTATTTATGCTTTCTCATGTGTAACAAGTCCTGCTTGAGTCAGGCCACTCTGTTCCTAGTGGTTCCTAACCATTGTCTGGCAAATGACCGTTCTTAGTTTTGCAGATTGACAGATGTTTTTGTTACTTCCTGAAACTTCTTTTGGGGGTGGGCTTATTTCTCATTGTAAGGCTAGGAGAGCTCCTGTCTGTAGTCACAGGACTTCGTCAGGTTCACTGTTGAGATACCATCCCTGCCCTGTCCTGTCCTGTTCCACATTCAGAAGCAGCATGTGCATGAGACATCAGGAGCCAAACCACCCTTGGAGTCTCAGATGTGAAGATTTCACAAAATACAACCGAAAACATGAGGAATTCGATGCAGTCATCATGCAGTGTACTTCTGACTTTGTTTTTTTAGATTTAAAGGAATTCCCAGCTTTCAGCTGTCAATCTTACTGGATGTCTGTAGATGTTAGGGTCAGGGAACCATGCACAGAATGGAGAAAACAAGGTCAATTCCTACCACTGCTGGTTAGATCTTGACAGATCGCCATTGAGCCAGAATTTATCTCATATTTAAAACAGAAAAACACGACGGAAGCTTGCCAGCTGATTTATAGAGCAGTTGTTTCAAAAATGCCGTTGTCACTTGGGAACCTGTTCTTAGGGGCTGTGAATTGGCTCTGAAAACATGACCTTCCCAGCCGACTCAGAGGAAGATCAGAACAACAAGGCCACCAACAAAATGGTTGTAGTTTTGATAATTTTTGGTACCAGGGATCGAACTCAGGACCTTGCGCTTGTAAGGCAAGTGTGGCCCCCCTGAGCTACATCCCCGGCCCAGTTGTAGATTTTTGAGGAAACAACCAAAGCAACATCCGGCTTTTCCCCTCACCTTGCATCGGCAAAACTACCTCTTCAGTATTTTTGTCTGACGTCTGAGTCAAAAGCATCTTACCCATACGTGTCAATGTCCTGTGCATCGTTACGGAAACATTGCTGTGAAATTAGAAGCCCTATATGAATGTCGCATACAACTTCAGGGTTCGCATTCAATCCTAAACTGCTCATCTCCTTTCCTGTCTGCTTACCACGTGGGGTGGGGTCTCCTTTGTATAGAGCTTCACTGTTAGTAAGTCAATGCCTGTTCTATTTCTGACATGTTCTCTTCGTGCATTAAAAACCTTCAAAATTATTTGTGGATTGTTTAAACTTTAGATAAATATACAGTGTGTGAAAATACATAACACTTCAATAACCCTACCCCCAAATAATGGTCTTTAAAAAGACAAAAGAAAAATTGGAATATATATTTATTTCCAGTACACTAATGAGTTTAGCTATAAATTACAGTGGTTCAAAGTGAAGATTTGAGAGCCAGATGGCCTGAACTCCAGTCTAGCCTCAGAGTGGCCTGAGGTAGATGACTTTCTCTCTCCGGGTTTGTTTCCTTGTTCATGAAATGGAGATCCTACTCTTACCTATATTTAGGACTTTGTTGCAGAAGTAGATTAAATAAAACAGGTCCAGTCAGTCCTCCCTACCTGTGGGCTCTGCATTAGTGCATTCAGCCAACTGTGGCCTGAAAACATTGGGAAAAGGGCAGTTATACTGAGCATGTGCGCTTTCCTTGTTGTTCCCTGAACAGCACAGTATACCTCCTCACGTAGCACTGGACTAGGGGTTGCAACCTTGAGAGGACTGATAGAAATTGGGAGGATGGGCTGGTTTCAGAGACTTGAGCATTTCTGATGCTCGGAGGCTCTTGAGCCAACCCCGCGGGCAGACTGTGGGGTGACTGAGGGCTGAACATAGGTGTGTAAAGTGTGCCTGCTGCAGCATGGTGCACGTTAAGAACCATGCAAGTTCCACCTGCCATTGCTGTTTTCACTGGACATAGATTCTTCCCCAAATACCGAGTTCTCCTTGTGAACACAGAATATATTCATGAGAATATCAGCAGGCTTTAATCTTTCGATTGATACCTGGACATTGTTCACTGAAACCTTTTTCTTAGGGAAGATTTTTTAACATCTGCTTGATTTCTGAGCCTCCTTATTCTGTAAACATATGCAGATACATACAAAACGGGTTCACTATTGCATCAACTGGGGTGCATTCAAGGAAATAAACCAGTCCAGGTTTCTCAAATGGGGAATTTAGCACTGGGGATTGATTACACCAAGGAACACACAGCGGGTTGCCAGGCAACCCAGACTAGCAGCCGCAGGAAGCCACTACCTTCCTGGGGTGAGAGGAAGTAGGGGAAGGGGGGCAATTACCAGAATCCAGAGTCCAGGCAGCCATCACTGAGGTCAGTGGGGAGCCTTGGAAAGGGAGACGGGAGCAAGGGCAGAAAGCTTGTCTGGGGACGCTGGAGCAGTGCAGAGGCCTGGCCACCAGGAGAAATGCTGCAGGGCGAGGGAGAGGGAAGAGCCGCCCTGGCCCCCGCTGGCCTCTCTGCCCAGCATCTGGACCTGCCCAAAGCCACTGGGCAGGAGTCTGGGCCGGGCAGTGCTCCATGAGCAAAGGCTGTGTCGGAGACAAATGAGCAGGTGACCAGCGCGGCCTCCGAGGTCTGCCCAACCCACTGCCTTCCTGGCCTGGCTGTTCAGAGCTCACATCCGGACCCACAGTGAAATGCGCCTGTGTTTGTCCCTCACTCCAGGCTCCCCGCAGCTGGTCTGCTGCTGAAGTCCAGTGGGCCCCGGCCGAGCCGCCTCTCCCGGTCTATCCCAGGGCTCTCTGTCTTTCTTCTGGACTGGGCCAGTTTCCTGACTGTTCACCCCGCCCCAGCTCCACACCTGCCAATCACTCCTTTACATGTCCACCACTTCTTTTCCCACGGGCTTTGCCCTTCTCTTGGTAAATGTACCTCCCTGTCCCGTACAGGGCACTGTAAGATCTTGAAATCGCCCCCCTTGAATGCTGTGCCCTTTCACAGCCCTCTTCACCTGAGTGTCTAGTGGGGTCTGAGACAGCCCGAGTGGGCAGAGAAGGCTGCTGCTGTAAAATCTTCAAGGGCTCCCTTGTGGCAAACGTGGACACGCTGGACTGGTGCTCACTCAGTCAAGAAGTACAAAGAGAAGTGCACAGGCGGCTCCGAAAGCAGACCATGAGTGTTAGGTCAGGTGGGGAGACTGACGCTGGCCGGCGTGGTGGACACAGACCTGGGCAGGCTCCCAGGTGAACTGGGCCACCTCCTTTGGCGCCAGCAGGCACCTAACCCACTCCTGACCTCGGAGCACTCATGATCCTCCCGACACAGGAGTCCCAGGAAGTGGCCAACACGTGGGAGTGGATGGGGGTGGACTGCTTCCAAGTTCAGGCCCAGAGGCGCCCGCTGCCTTTGCCCACAGTGCTCTTCTGTTTTCTGTCTTCTGTTTTCCCCAAGCCAGGTTCTCCTCGTCTCTTCCCTGTCGCAAGTCCCTCAGCCTCCCGCAGCCCAGCCCCACGCTCTAATCAGAGAACTCCCCACTTGGCTTCCCACGCCTTCCTCCTGTCCTGTAAAATGAGTCCTGCTATTCTCTGCCCTTGCCTGTGGAGCCCCAATTACATGCATTGGTGCTGTGCACTCCTTTTAAACACAGGCAAACAAATGCTTTTTAAAAAATAATTACTTGAATAGTCTTATTGGCTTGTGCACGCTGCATCTGGGGTCTTAATTCCTTAATTGTGTCTCTCATTGTCTTGGTGTATTTTCTTTGTTAGAGTTTCTCTCTTTTCTGTCTCATCTATGAAGATGGAGTTCATATGGAAGGGGACGATGATTTCAGCACCAGGTCTCTGGCTGACCCAGTTGGGCGGCTTGGCGACTTTTAGATGGGCGTCGGGCACGATGACCCCTCTTCGGGGGAGACAGTAAAACATGTGAGCTGACAAAGGCAGCCCTGTCAAGGCGGCATTCCCCAGGGGGTGTCCTCTGACACAGAGTCTGAAGGCTGGCACTCGAGAACCTGGGAAAGAACAGCCCACATCCTGGAAAGGGCCAGTACCAAGGTGCTGAGGTACCAACAAGGTTGGGGTGATTGAAGTACAGGGGAGAGGACCATGGAGCGGACAGATGTGAGTTGGGAAGGGCCACGAACATTAGGGAAGGTGGATCTCAGGCCAAGCTCCGGGAAACCCACGGTGAGCTTGAAGCAGAAGGATCCACCGAACTCCCGTCCACTGTTCAGAACAAACGCAGAGACAAGTGAACAGGTCACTGTGGTAACAGATGAGAAAATGGCAGCACCAGTGCACAGTAGTACAGGAAAAGGAGGACTTGGATTCACAAGCTACTTTGGTGGAAGTTCACACAGTTGATGAGGTGGATGCAGAAGGAAGGGATAAAAGGAGCTAGAGACAGGCACAGGGAGAGACTGAAGAATAAATCACTTTCTCTTCCCCAAGTGAAAGTTGAGGTGATTGTCTGATAGCTGGGTGAGCAGAGCAAAAGGGCAGTTGGGTATATATGTGGAGTTTAGGGGAAAGGTCAGCCTGGAGGATGATTTCGGGACATGTCAGTGTGTCGATGGCTCCTAGACTCATGGAATTTGCTGCGGTGACCCAGAGAGAGTATGGTGAAGGGGAAGCCAGGAGCGCTTGGGGGACTTGGACCTCAGGCATCAGCCAGAGTCAGGTTCCACGGTAAAAGGGGAAGGGGAAGAGGGACCCAGGAGCTGAGAGTCAGGCATCAGCCAGAGTCAGGTTCCACGGTAAAAGGGGAAGGGGAGAGGGACCCAGGAGCTGAGAGTCAGGCATCAGCCAGAGTCAGGTTCCACAGTAAAAGGGGAAGGGGAGAGGGACCCAGGAGCTGAGGGTCATTTGCCTAATCAAGGAGCTGGGGATTCAAGGCTTGCATAGTTCCCTTCTGCACTCCATTATAAAATTTTTGAGAGAACTGTAGGAAATTAGTAAAAATTTGTAATAATTGAGGGCTTGGTCTTCTCAAATGTATTTCTTTGGTGCATACTCCAAGAGTTAACCTTACCAATGGTTTACAATGTCTTGAAAATGGTCCTGATGTAGAAAGAACTTAAAATAAGCCAGTGCTTAAAATGTTTGGAAACTGCTCTTCACATAAATGTGATAATGATACTTAATTTCAGGTTCCCATATCATCTACCAATTTCATCTACATTTATGATGAAATAATTATCTCAATGACCCTACAAAGAATTTCCCTTTATTTCTTTCAAATTTAATAATAAAATATATCAAGTGAGCAGCAAAACAAGCATTCTGTGAATTATAGGTCCTTGGGTTTGTAATTTTCAACCATGAGGAGTTTTAAACTTGTAATTACTAAGGTCCTCTGGTAGCAGCCTCTGATGTGGGAGCATGCATGTTTGGACAGAGCTGGTAAGTACTGCACATGCACACAAAATCACAGCATTTAGTGGACAGCAAGACAATGTGTAAACATGGTGTTCAAGGGTTTGTCCTGTAGAACAGGACAATGAAAGCTTTAAGAACTTGCAATCCACTTTTAAAACTGAATAAGTATGTTCCAAATCTTGCCCCCGTCTCGCTTGCCTGTCTTGAGCCTACTTCCTTCTGTATACACTAGGGGCAAACTGAATGTGGTAGACTTCCAGTACTTACGGTGCAGTTCTCTCTGCTCTGACCGCTAGGGAGCATCCCATGCCTTAATCCAGGTGATGGGATCATGGGGTGAATGGCTGACCTGCTGGGGACAGAGGCGGCTCCCTGAGGACACCCTAGAAGGCTTGTCCACCTTCCTGGCTTCCTCTGTGCTCTCTGCTGCCCTCCCGCCTGACTGAGCAGCTTTTCCTCCGCCATGCCTTTCTGCAGGGGAGCCAGATGACTCTGGAGGACAATGCGCGTGCAAATAAATCTCTCCCCTTTAAGGTGCCGATGTGGGTACGGCCTCTCAGTGACTAGAAAGTGAGTGAGACGCCTGTCTTTAAGAACACATCTCATTTTGATGAAAGAGATGGACAAATACTCTAGTGAGGGTGATACAGTATTTTGTTGTCAAATTTCAGTGATGCGTAAAGTATTGCTCGCTGTGCATGGAAGCAGATAACCACTGAGTTCTCTCCAGGTGCACACGCTGCCACACATCTGTCACTAACAAGTGACAGCTTACAGTCGTTCTGTTAATGAGGCTGATCCTTGACTGCACTCTTGTGCACGCCACTGATCACGCTTCCTACCACACGTGCCTCAC